CCGCCGCCACCAAAACCACCATCCCTTCCTCCACCACGCCCCCCAAAACCGCCATCCCTTCCTCCACCACGCCCACTAAAACCGCCATCCCTTCCCCCGCCACGCCCACCAAAACCACCGTCTCTCATTCCACCTCGACCACCTGAATCCCAGCGTGTGTTACGAACACCGCCATTATCCATACCTGGATCACCACCTCTATCCTTGGCAAAGTATGGGGGGGCAGTGCGTTGAGCCATCTCTCTTATTTGTGGAGGCACAATCTGATTAGCACCGTCCAGAAGTTTCACAAGATCAGCTGCATATTTCCAGTCTTGATCTGAGAAAAAAGTGTATGCAACACCTGTTGCGCCTGCTCTCCCAGTCCTCCCTATTCGGTGAACGTAATCCTCTACCCCGGTTGGAAAATCATAGTTTATTACTACCCTGCAAAAATAACTCTCAAATAACACTATAAGAAAAATGATATGTTATAACATCGATGGGAAAAAATCAGACAAGTTACAAGGAGAGTAATGATTCATGTAAATTAACAACAGGTCACAATTTTATAATGACATGTTTAGTCAGATGAAAAAATGATTCACCTTACATCCCGTACATCAAGCCCTCTTGCAGCAACATCAGTTGCAACTAAAATTGGGGTCTTTCCAGATTTAAATTGATTGAGGGCCCAGTCCCTCTCAGTCTGTGACTTGTCACCATGAATAGTAGTAGCACCAAAGCTACGCCCAATGCTTCGTGCAAGTTGGTCACACAATCTTTTGGTGGAGCAGAATATTATGATTTTAGAGCCTCGCTCATGGGCTCGAAGAATTTGCTCCACCCGTCTCTGCCTCTCTGCTACTGGAACTAGTTCAATATACTGCACAAGCCATTGGCATTATGTGATCGCTGCAGATAATCATTTACATCTACTTCGATAGTAATGAGAGGATTGTCTGGAGAGTAGAATTTCACTTGTTCATTGAAAAATACTCCCTCTGTTCCGTAATAAGGGTCCTGTTTCCTAACATATTTTTGTTCCAATGATCCAATTCAATGACAAGATATAATTTTCAATGCTATACAATAATTTTTTAATAAAAAAGTATGTCAAACGACTTAAACATGCTAAATTTAGTTATACCAACAACAAATTAAAATATAATTGCTTTTGATGATTTCTACAAGCTGTGCCTTACTAAAATTAAACATTTGTACATTTGTGAAATATGACTCTTGTTATGGGAAAGAGTGAGTAATACATTTTTAATTACCAAAATCAAGGTTATCTATCAAGTGAAAATGCTATCGTTCTGTTTAAATCCTGTTTCAAGGGGTCAGGGGGGGATAACCTTGTAATTCACTTATTAGAATCTACTGGGTAGTTTATTCTCCTATTCTAAATCCCAGAATCAAAGTCACTTGAATCACCTGTGTGATGGACTTGTTGGCTTCAAGCTCATTGACACTACCAATGTTCACTTGGACTGGATCTCGAAGCAGATCATTAGCTATTACTCGGACCTCCTTGGGCCATGTTGCTGTGTACATTAGTGTTTGTCTGTTTGGAGGTATGAAATTCACAATCTTACGAATCTGAGGCTCAAAACCCATGTCCAGCATTCGGTCAGCTTCATCAAGAACCAGAAGGGAAACTTGACGAAAATCAATCCTCTTCATCTCAAGTATATCATTGAGCCTTCCTGGTGTTGCCACGACAATGTCTGCTCCCCGCTCCAGTTCTTTTAATTGGGGACCCTTTGGGGCACCACCATACAAGCACTGAAACGACAAAGATGAATCTATTATTTGTTTCCAAATAAAGATATTACACAATGGGTCATCAATTATCAACTTACTGTGCAAGAAACCCTTGACGATCGTCCAAACTTCAATGCTTCATCCTGTATTTGTGTTGCAAGCTCACGCGTTGGAGATAAAACCAGTACAGTCGGTCCATTCTGAGGATTGTTACGTCGTCGTGAAAGCTGGATAAATGCAGGAATAAGATAGCCCAATGTTTTGCCAGATCCTGTCTTGGCAATGGCCACAATATCCCGATTTTGTAGTGAAATTGGCCATGTTTGTGCTTGGATTGGTGTGGGAGAAGTGAATCCAGCAAAACAAAGCTGCAGGAAAATTATAAACATAATCCATACCAACAAAACATAATGTGGAGAACACTCTAGGACGTGCATGGATAATTTTAGAAATACAAGCCTGAGATTTCAAAAATGGATCCAAACTTTGAGAACGATTAAATAATAATAATAATAAACTAAATTGAAAAATGAACAAGGATCCAAAAAGAAGTTTGAAGGAATGCAGCTGCTTACAGAAGCAACTCAAGGCAACAAAATAGAGCAATTAAAACAGAGGATGCAGAGCCAATAAGCTAGAAATCCCAGTCACATATATTGTTATTTGGATGAAGGGCCAACTACCCTTCAAGAAGCTATGCAAGAGGCTTCAACTATCCATTTTGCAGCCTCAAAAAAACTCAATATACTGGTTGTGGAAGTGTATGAGCATTTCATAGCAATACAGCGTACGACATGTGCTCCTCCTCCGGAGCAGATATCGCACCTGCGACAAGTGACAACTGTTAAGCTCAATGCATCTATAAAATATAAATATTACACAGATCCAGAATGAGTTGAAGAGTCACTCTAGCGCAGTAGGTCTGGTCTGTAGGTCCAATGTCAAGGATAGTACACTTACATCTCTGAGTATTTCTTGAGGAAAACCAGTAGCCTCAAATGTGATGAATGGATCTGGAACGTTTTCACCCTAGATAACAGAATTGTAGGGAATCAATGTCAATTGGAAAAATAAACTGAATCCAAAGGAGGATGAATCGTAGACTTCAAGAGATGAAAGCAATGTGACTTCAAACACACGGATCACTATCTGTAACAGCTTTGAAGTTTAAACATTAAAGAGAACATAGCAAGATCCAAGTACGTGCAAAATCATGTAACATGCTAAGATTGCAAACTAAATCACAAGTAATAAAGTGCATGAAGGTGAAATGATAAAATGATGTGGGGAGATCAAAATAAATATCACACTGGAAATAGCGTTTGAGCATTACGATTCTAAAAGCTTAAGCCATACAACTCAGTAAACCATAGAGAATGCATTTCATAGTGCCTTCCTCATGAGCTAGCTACATAGGAATCAACCTTTGTCATACTATCTACAACCTAATACCCCTCATACAATCCCAGCTCAATCAATGATGAGCAACATTAAAATATACAAAGCATTGACGTGATAGAATACACGGTATTAAATAATACAAACCATTGTAGTGATTTCATGTTTTTTACGATAATCCTCAGCGTCCGGATGTCCCATAGAAGTTGACGGTGGGCGCATTTGAGCGATTGTTGAAATCGGGGGTCCACCGCCACTGGTTGCTTGACCATAAATATTATGCAATGGTGGACCTCCAGAATTATTATATCCACCAGGATATCCTTGTGCTGAATTCTGAATTGCTTGGTCAGCGGTCCTCATCTCCTAATAAGAATACAAAAATGCAACATAAAAAAATCATTCTTATAGTCTTAGTCATAGGAACAACATCAACCCAGTTGGATCCCACGAGAGTAAGGTCTGGGGAGGGTGTGTGTATGCATACATTCTCCCTCCTCAAAAGCAGAGAGGCTTTTTCCAAGAGGTCATAGAAACAAAATAAATGAAATAAAGGCAGATATTTCCTAGAAAATAAATCAAATGCAAGCAAACTACAAAATGTGCAAAATACAATTGATCAATCATACACTAATAGTTATTCAAGAGAACAGAGGCACAAAGTCGAGGCACAAGGCACGTTCGAGGCATGCGCCTCAAGAACATAAGGTGCAAAGGAAGAACGAGGATTAGTATATTCCATCATCCAAACACATACAAAAGATAAAATAAAATTCATAGTTTAAACTTTGAATGTAGCATACAACTACCAAATTACAAAACAAATCAAAGTAGTTTTTGGTTGTACCAAACTACCATGAATCAAAGTCAAGCATATTAGCATGTGACATATAAGTATATAATTAATCAAATCTCATCATCCTCCATGTCAACAATAGTTATTGATAAAAAAAATTCAAAAACTTTTAGCAAAACATGAATAATAAAGCAAAAGGAAATATGACTATGTTGTATTTCAAAGCAAAAGATAATATGACTATGTTTTATTTTAAAGCAAAAACTAATAGAGATGTGCATATGGACAATTGTACATAACAGTAAACAAAACTGAGAGAAATTGTAATATTATAATATTAATAATAATAATAATAATAGCAACAAGATTGCCAAAGGCCTTGTTGCCAAGTGGCATGAATGTGGCTCTCCCAATTGGGAGGTCACAAGTTCAACCCCAGCACGGGCATTGACTCTCTGTGCTTTCTCTGTGTTTCACTAAGTTGGGAAAGTATGTATGATCGCATACTATATTGTAATAGAGTCAATAGTACTCCTAAAAAATAGTAACACTGAGAATAATAAAAACTAAAGAAGATGAAGATGAAGATGAGAATGGAGGTTCAGTGCTTGGATGTTGAAAGACATGTTGATCAAAGGAAAGGCGTGGAACAAGGGTTGATCAAAGAGGGAAGTAATGTAGTATATGGTCAATCCGGCAGCCCAATTTACCCTAGATGGTCATTTCCCAGTTTTTTATTTAGAATAAAGCATTGTCAGTTTGTCACTATGTGTTAGGTCAGACAGGGTTTGTGTACCCCTGCCCTGCCCCCAGGCCCCACGTGAGGGGCTTTACCAGGTAGGTTTTTGGTGTACTATGGCATCGTGTGATTGAGGCACGCCTCACCTACGCAAAAGGCACTAATGCGTGCCTAGGCATGTGTCTTTCATTTATCGCCCACTATCTTTCACAACTATCCATGCACTCATTTTTTTAAAAAGAGCAAACTACCAACCAAAATGTGGTATATGTAAACATGGAGGTGTGGACTCCATTGACACTGAAACTGAAAACTTACATGCTGAGATCTGGCATGGGGTATGGCTGCAAGCATGGGATGTGAAGCCTGAGGAGGCATGGCATGGACGTCCTTGATAGGATTCTCATAAAACTTATTCCCTACTTTTCCATGTAAGTTTTCTTCATATCCTACATTAGATCCAGGTGGTGGCACATTTAGCTGAGGACCATGTGAAGACACTGGACCCATCTGGCTTTGGAACCGGGGAGCATGCTGGTAGTGTGCTGAATCTGACCCGCTGTGCGACCAATGTACTTGAGATGCTGGCTGCTGCATATTAGCAGAAGAACCACTATATTGCATTGGTTGAGACGGTGGTCCAGCCATGGGATTGGGAGCAAGAGTTGATGACTGGCTAGATTGCTGAAAGGGGATTGGTGAAAACCCCATTTGTTTTCCTTGTGGAATTTCTGCATCCTCCCTCTGACTGAACTCTATGTTGTGCTCTTGTTGGTGGGGAAAATGTTGGCCTTGCAAAAGATGATGCTTCTGCTGCTCTGGAACACTTTGGGCTTGGGAATTCATGTTCTGGTGACTATACAAACCATGTGATGTCTGGTGCTGAGTAAATTGAAAATCTTGATGTTTTCCTGCCTGCATTCCTTGAAATGGCTGCACTTGCTGGACCTGTGGCTGAGTAAAGTGCTGCAATGGCCCTGGCTGCACCATAGGCATTTGGTGACTTGCCTGTTGCATTCCATAAGGCCTAACATGGTGCAACTGTTGTTGCATCGTAGGATTTACATGTGAACCCTGCTGCTGTCCAGCTGAAACTTGTGAGGGACCCTGTTGTGGCTGCTCTTGTTTCAAGCTCTGGCCGATGTGAGGGCTTTGCTGCTGGCCTTGCGCATCACTTGGTTGAACAGAAGTAGCCCCGGGTATCGGAGCAAGTTTGGGAGTAGGGGGAGGCAGACCAGGTGGCAGCGGAGGAGGAGCTGCCGAGGGCTTCTCATATTGTGTAACATTAGTTTCAGGATTCCAGTAGTACATTAATCCAGTACTTCCATCAATTAAACCCTTCCATGGTTGGGGGAGGGTTGGATCATCGGGTGCATAGCGTGGTCCAACTGAAGATGTTGCAGCCTCAGCCGTCGCCATGCTGAACAGAACAGCTGCTCAAAGAAACTGGCACGATCATTGTTAATAAAAGCATTAGAACTCGTAATAAACATATGAAAGTAATAATTTTGAGATCATGATAAGGGTATCCGAAGTAAAAAAATAAAAAAGATGCCTACCTACAAAGCACAATACACCAAACCTAGTGAGAAATCGCGGGTTCGATCACACTGGGAAAAGTATATGACAGTCCAACTTGAGTATCGTTGACCAGATACGAGGTCAAAGGCCCCGGACACGTCCGGACTACGCCGGCGATGAAACCAGGCTTCGTTTGGAGGTGGAGTTTATTTTCCGGCAGACTACACCAGCCGGAGCAAGGGCGTCTTGATTGTGTCTTTTTTGCAAGAAATAGGCAGATACGAGTCGGGTTAGAGGATCGGTTGCGGTACCTGGTTTCAAGGAGATTGATTGGCTTCTTTCGGCAGATGGGTGGAGACGAATGGTGGAGGCCGGCGGCCAGAGGGCAGCTACCGCAGAGAGATGCTCAGATCCGCTTACCACATTTGGGAGCGGCACTTGATTTCGGCAAGTATTTCTTCGATTAGGGTTCCTCCTCCTAGTTCTGTTCTTTCTCTCACTCGTTGGGTGTCCTAAACCTGGAATTTTATAAAGTGGGATTCTTTGATTGACGAATGAGAATTAGGAGTGTGCACAATTTGGTAAATTAACTGAACCGAACACAAACCAACCGAAAAATTTGGTACGTACCGTAACCGGATCAAATAATTCGGTTCGGTATTCGGTTCTCATATTTTGAACAAATCGGTTTTTGGTTCGGTACAAAATTTGGAACTGGTATTTTGGTAAAAACCGAATACCGAAATTATTTAATACTTATGTATAATTTTACTCATTGCTACTCAATTCAATACCCAATATCTATCACAATATTGAAATAATGAATATCCACCCCACTAATTTTAAGTCCTATTATCTAAATTTGGAGTTATTTAAGATTGGAAATCATGAAAAAATCAAATTAATAATACTGGTAAATATTTTTATATTTCGGAATGGACAATTGTGTTATTTGTATCAACTATTTTATTTAATTTATGTAATAGTTCTAATTGTGATGCGTTATTTTAATTTTGGAGTGTGTAATGAACTTATATATAATGGATTATTCTTTGTTATTTTCAATTTGGATAATGAAATGGATTTTCTAAAGTGCAAATTTTGGTTTATGTTCGGTTTTTGGTAAAACCGATTTAATTTGGTTTTTACCGAACCGAACCATTTGATTTCGGTTCGGTATTTGGTACAAAAAATAAATTACCAAAATTTCGGTTTACCGAATTTTCGGTTTGGTTCGGTTTTACCGAATAAACACCCCTAATGAGAATGAACTCTAATAGGTCCCTCAAAACTTGATTATATTTTCTTTCAAATAATTACGATCTTTGATTGTAAATTTTTTTTAAAAAATATTGAATTATAATAATCTATATAAATTTAATAGGATTGAGTTCATCTTGTTGTAGGGAGATGTGTAATTATTTATTGATAATAGCTCCCTTATATAGGGAAGAGCTTCATAGGGTTTTACAAGAGAAGGCACACAGGCCAGCACAACTGTATTACACAATATAAAATAAATTCTATCTACACAACAGCACACTAATTTACAAATTCCTTCAACACATCTTAGAATATATATAGTTTTTATATCTCAAAGTTTTGTAACAATTGTTTAACTAAATTCATACTTGTGCATTGCACGACTAAATTTATTCCAAAATATAAAAAATGATAGTTTCATAATTTAAATGTATAAACCCAAATTTTAATTTAAAATATAAATGTATACTCAACATATAAATTACATTTATATTCACAACCTTATCCTTGGACTTAGAGCCACTACCTACGGCCATGACTCAAGTCTATCTTATTCGACACGTTACAATACAACATGACTTGACCAACAAAGGTGTAACACCCCGGCCCCCACCCTGGCCGTAAGCGTCCGTTCATAGGATTGTAGACTGCGTCCAAAGAATTTCCCAAGGGGTCACTCATCCTAAAATTGCTCAGGTCAAGCACGCTTAACTTTGGAGTTTCTAGGTGATGAGCTCTCGAAAAGAAGATGCACCTTGTTGGTATGAGTGGTACTATCAATCCTTTTGAGTTCTTCCCATTCTCATCTTAATACGGGGTATTACAGTTGAGTTTTAGCAAAAGTCAACATTCCCAATGAAGGGTCAGTTTTCTATGAGTTTTGTGCCTCTCGAGGAGTGGACGAAGGAAATTAGTTAATTTTTCTAACTAGAAGAAGGTTAGAATGGGTCTAAAAGTCTTATCGATTTGATTTAAAAATGAAAATACTACACTAGCTCCAGATTGAATGCGAGGTTCACGCTGCCCACGGCGTTCGGGTTGTGAACCCTAAACGGGTAGCCAAGAAGATCGTGCATAGGAACCAACTCTGAGTCTTTGATGATGGAATTCGGGCTGTCATAACTTTGGATTAGTGGATTTGGAAGACATGCTCGGAAATTTGGGAAGAGAGCCGAAATTTGGAGGCGGAGATATCTCTAACGTTGGATTGAGAATAAAACGGGAGTGAGAGGATGGACGGCCCGAGAGATGAGCTTGACGTTATGACACAGAACTTGAACAAGGAGTGGGATCTTTTCTGATCTGGCACGAGATTCGAAGGTGGCTCATCATTAGTTTCTTAGTGACACGTCACTTAGAAACTATGGGCTTGTGATGGATATAGGGTTGTTCACATTTAGGACCAGACCGAAAAAACCGATTGAACCAGATCGTTAGGTCCAAACCGAACTCAGACCAAATGGATTTCGGGTCGGTCTTAGGTTGAGAAAATTTAGGTGTTTGGGTTTCGGTTCGGTCCGGTTCAAACCCAAAATGATTTTGGTCCGGACCAAATGGACCTAATAACTCAACTGGACCTAGAAGACTTAAATATTAAAACTCTACTTTTTAAGTTTTGTATTATGCTTTGATGCTCTGTTTTAATAGATATCTTAATTTATTTAATTAAAAAGGTTTTTATCAAGTAATTTAAAAAAAATTAAAAATGTTTCATATTAGTTTTTATGATTCTACATAGAAGTAATTCACATTGCGTATCTATTTCTAGGTTGCCTATTTCTTTTATTTTTTTCTATTTGAATGGTACAAAGTAAAAAACCTAAAATATATTTAATTGGTCAAAATAATTAAAAAATATGTATTTTTATCTGGACCAATCTGTTCGAACTGATTCGGTCCTAAGTATTTCGGTTCGGTTCGGTCCAAACCCGAACAGATTTAGGTCCGATCTTCGGCCCATGATTTTATGTAATTCGGTCTTCGGTCCAGTCCGAGTCGATCTGGTTCGGTCCGATCTTGGACTGATGAACAACCCTAGATGGATATCGGGACCTTGGAGAAAGCCCAATGAGGTCCAAATGTGATTTCGAGACCTAACAAAAAAAGAGCCCAAGTCCGAAGCAGGTGGATTAAACATGGTGTAAGAGGAAAAAGTGATTCCCCAAATCGTGGGACTGAGGACCTATTGATGATTGATTCTCCGCCACGATTGATGCATGATAGTTGATTTACCGATATGTAGCGCACGAAATTGCATACCTTGTATACGATAGAATTAGACTATAAACAGGAGGCGAATCCTCCAGTGTAACTCAAGCTGAATCTAAATAGTACAAGTCTAAGAGAATTCTATATTTCATCTATATTCTTGTTATTCTTATTTAGTTATTCGTTCCACCATAGTCGTTGGGTTGAAATCCCATCAACTTTGTACAAATATTTTATTTCAATTTTATTTGTCATTTTCTTTTGTATCATTCCACAAAAAAATTGTGTTGAAAAATAAATAAATAAACATTTTTTATTTGAGAGCATATATTTTATTTTACTTATTTGTATAAACAAAGAAAAAATGAAAAAAAAACTAAAAGAAAGAGCATAAATATCAAATTAACTTTGAAAATAGGCTAGGCTATGCGCACCTTTTAAAAAGCATAAGGATTTTATAAAAAAAATTTTGAAAATAAAGTGGGTTTTAGTGCCTCTCTTGTACACCACAACACCATACCCCGCTATTAAGAAATTATCCTGAATAGAAGTAAAATAGAACATTTATCCTAAAAATAAAAGTTTCATATTTTTATCGCAAAATAGAAGTTTGCACGATAACATTACAACACTGTATAGTGACATTTCACTGTGTTTTAAGAAATAACCCTAAATATGAGAAAAACATAAAAAAGGTGTCAAAATAGGAGTTTCATATTTTTACCTTCAAAATACGAGTTTGCACTGTGATAATGTGACACTGAATATGAATATTTCACAATAATCATTAGTAGTATACATGGTCATGATTGACACTGTATATGCATTTTAACTTTTATTTTAAAAATAAAAATATGAAACTCCTATTTTGCTTTATTTTCTACGGAGTATGTTTTACTCATACGTTATTCTTTTTCTTTTGTGTTTTTTGAGTATTATATACTGATATTATTGACATTGTAATTCTTACTTTGGGAGTTTGGGATATGATAAAAAGTATTGAACTCTTATATAATTGGTTCATGTTTTATGAGCACGCCCGGATGGTTTAGAAAATATTACCAATGCCCCCTATATTTCCAAAAACTTATTTATAAAATTCTTATGATTTCAAAAATTTTTAACTATTTTTCTCGCGAAAAGGAAGGCATTAGTAGCTAGTTTTCCAACCAAACGGCTCTCTAGAGCTCATGGCCTATTTTTCATTTATTGTTTAGTTTTTCCCTTTTTTCTCTCTTTGTTTAATTTCTTTCATTATAGATATTTTAAATTTATTTTTTAAAAATTATTTTTCATAATATCTTAATATTTTAAAATTGTTTGCGTTTGAAAATAAAAAATAAATAAAATGAAAAATTAATATATTCTAAAATTCTTAAAATATGTTTTAACATCTTTATTTTTTTTTTTCCAAAATAAAAAGTAAAATATTTTTTTGGGAACTTAAAAAAATAATGAGGAATAGAAAAAGGATATTAAATAAAAGAACAATACTAAAAGCAAATAAAACAAACGAAAAACATACGAAAAATACTTTTATAAAAAAAGGAAAATGGAGTCATGCAAGTGTACTGATAAAGTTCTTTTTGGAAACTTTAAAAAGTCATTTTTTAATCTCTTAGCCATAAAGACTTTCTCTAAATAGCATCACATGTGCTTTTTTCCAATGTAGCACTTTTAGTCATCATTCATTAATTATTATTCAAGTAAATGTTCACCATCACTGGACATTATGGATATTATTAAGTGCTATTTAGAAAATAAAACACTTTAAGTGTTATTTAGGGAAATGACTTAAGTTTTAGTGCTATTTAGAGCATGTTCTTTAGAGCTTGAACTCTTAACTTCCAGTTTCTTCCAGTTTTTTCCAGTTTCTTCAAGTTCTTCCAGTTTTTTCCAGTTTCTTCAAGTTCTTCCAGTTTCTTCCGATTCCTTCTAGTTTTTTCCAACCATTCTCATTTTTTTCAAACTCTTTCTACTCCCAACCAATTACTCTAAAAACGATATATTTTTAGTGTGATTATTATGA